GTTCAGTGCAAGCAATTTTTAGGTGAAAAAGGATTTTCAGAGGAAGCCATAGTAAATTGAAGTTGTAAGTTTGAAATTTCAATGAGTATTTCATAAATGTCAAATTAAAAACAAATCTGCATTACTTTGAAGTTGTTTCATTACTAGATGTGCTGCTTTAGCAGGAACTTTGCATGTGAATTATATCAAATAAAATAAAATGTACATTTTCTAAAACTATGAATTATCGGTGGGTTGAATTGTTTAATTTTCTTACTTTGCTTAATTCTAGCAGAGATGTTTTTAGGACACTTAATCTGTAAATTGCCATAAGCATTTGAGAGGACCAATTAATAATTTGTTTCTTCTCAAAACTGACTTGAGAGCTCCCCTTCTAGCTGATTTTTATGATTTACTAAACAGGAATCATATATCACTTCTTTTTCATTGTTCTCATTGTTAAGGATTTAATGGGAAATTGGAGAGCGCTCTCCATGGGAAACATTTGTAGGTTTCTTTGCAGTAAAGACTCTAAAAATTGCTATATAGAGTGGAACAGAGCTTAGCCAGAGTAGTGCTTTGTTTACAGTATTGAGCCACTACTTCTGAAAACTTGCAACTTATCACAAATAAGTTAGGAAAATGAAGACTATTCCCTAATACAGCCTTTTCTATTTTGGGTTCCTGCCAGTGTTTAGACTATAGCTGAAACTGTAGTCATCTGAAGGAATTCAGGCAGACTGTCTTTTTTCTCAAATCTTTGGTTCTCTTGGGTATGCTTGTAACCTGACTCTCTATCTGCTAATTGCAATCATATCTTGCTAATTAATTATACATTGCATGAAAATATTGCTCTGCAACAGCTCCTTATGGAATAGGGTTTTGGACCTATCACAGAATCTTATGCTGGCTAGCTGCAGAATCTTTAGGCACCTTTAAAAATATTGCCATTTCTTCTCCTTTACTTACATTAAAGGTAAGCGGAGTATCCTACCCCCTCATCCTGTCTTTGCAGGTAAAGATCTCTGGACATTTATTTTTATATCTAGTCACGGTATTTAATAAGTTTATAAATTCCTGGCCTGTTCTACCATTGTTCATTTTCTTTAAATCTGATTCCCATTACCACCCCATTATTAGTCTTCCATGGCATGAAATAGTCCTCTGTTTTACATGATCCTTATAGTTGTTCTTGTAGCTTTGCTAGTTCTGTTATGAACTTTAGAAATCTTTTGTGAACATATAATGTGATTGGGTGAGATATTTGAATTAAGTTGAATGATATTAACATCAGATTATATTATATTTGTTTTGTTTTGTCCTCAGTTAATATTTACAATTTTTAATTAGATTGAGATTAACTCACTAGTGGTTAATGGAGAGAAAGGGTATGTGGGATATGGTCATTTCTTTAAAGGAGCACATTTGCCATTTGCAATATATCTTAAATCCAGCTTTATTCCTGGAAAATCAGGCATTAACTATGGTTAGAGTTTTCTGTCAGTTGCACAAATCAGACCTTTCAAATGTTCCATCCATCACTAGTGATTCTGTAGATAGAAGGCTGCAGTAAATTTAAAAAGATCTCCTTAAATTCAAATGTAAATTAGAAACAAGACTATTAATACACTGAATCTCGTGTACTTATGTTGGATTTTCAGATAATAATTTTGCCACAGTTGCCATAGAATCTGGACTAATGAGTAAGTTCAGCCTTGACAGAAGATATCAGGGTATTTATATGTATAATGAACATGTGATGTGAACATAGTATTCATTTTTTGAAGTTTGCCTAGATTATTTTGTTTTCTCTAGGTCATGAATACAAGAAGAGATGTCCAATGCAACCTGCAGTGCCCCTTTGCTCTCTACCAAACTCCCCTCCTGCCATTTTTTTTTTTTTTTGCACTTCTTGTGATGATCAAAAGAAAAGTAGGCAAATGAAAAGTAGGCAAAGTCACCTTGGGAGAGGCTTCTGTATAGTAGGGAAGCAGCTTTTTTCAATCAAAGTAACATTCTTTTTTCCTAATAATTTTATTAAAGATTATATAAAACAGATAAAACTAATACAAAAATCTAATACAAAAATAATTAAAAGAAAAAAAATAACATTAAGAAAGTGCAGGGAAAAAAATCCCCCCCACAGAAAGATAAGAAGAAACTTCCCCCTTCATCACCAGCAAGTATATTCAACATTAACAACTTATCACTGTCTCTTAAAATACTACCCAATACATCTTCATTTCATACTACACCCCATTTTCTATAGACCTGTCTCTAAATCCTCAGCTCTACTTATTAATCAACAAAAGGTATAAAAATTGACATAACTAACAACATAAGCATTTAGTCCCCCTTTCCATTTAAACATAATTCCCCTAACCTGTTTCTTAATAATCAAAATCTAATCCCAATTAAGAATTAAACATTACAGAAAAACAAAAACAAACAAAAACACGACCAGAAATAATAATCCCTTATTTATACACCAAAAATAGCAATATAGATA